TTGAAGTTTGAGGAGGTAGTGCCAAGGAAAAGTGATCGACTCGGTGATATGATCGACTCGCTGATAAACCACGTTAATCTATAATAGATTAAACTGCTAGAGCGTTCCGCGAGCTACCTATCTATATTCTAGCCTTCCCCCTCTAGTTTTATCTTTACCTCTTTATTTATACTATACTCGGCCTTTTTAAAAAACTTATACTTAGATATATGAGTACCGGGTTGTTTTTGTATGTTCTATTGTCGAGTAGAAAGGGGAGAACTCTTTAATTTGTAAAAGTAAGGTATAGGTGGATATTAAATACCCTGGAATGACGCTAGCGCTAGTAGGTAGTGAGTGAATATCAAATATATCTAACATGTTCCTAAATATAAGTCCTTATCTCTATCGCCCCCCGCCCTTACCCTAATACTATATACCTCCTCCGCTTATCTATCTATCTCTCTTTACTTAAGAAGGTAGACAAGTATTCCTTGGTATATATATATAAATACCATTTATCCATAAATAAAATAAGTAAAAAAACGACTACGACTTGATCTTTTCTATGTAGAAGGTAAAAGAATTAAATATTAGTAAAACTCCACACCCTATTCCCGGCTCCTGCGCTAGTAAAATAGCAGTGGGAAAAGTTATTTTATATTTACTTAAAACTATTATAAAACCCGACTTTTGAAAACAACTCCTGCTGTAATTTTTGAGAGGTATATGTCCTGTACTATTACAGTCTTAGAGATAGTTCTTATAGGGGTTTTTCGCTCTTATTTTTACATACAACTTATGAGGATCGTATAACCGCTACGAAAACGGTTTAGAGCTATATAAAGTAAGATAGCCAGATACTTGACTTTTTTACTTGAGTACGTAGGTATCCCTCACCGGTCCGTATATATAGGTGTTGGGTTACCTTTTATTCTGGATTTCTGGGGTTTCCGTTGCGGATTCGTACTTAGACTTAGGGAACTGGTATCATAGGTGGGTTCTTGAAGCGGGGGGAGTGAGGTGAGGGTAAGAGGAGGGTAAGCGGTTAGTAGCTATCGCTTAACAAGTTATGATTTGCAATTGTTTTTTTTCTTTTGTATAGAGTGAGTTTTGGGATGTTAGATGTTGGATATTGGATATTGGAATAATCTTTGATGTTAGGGTTTGAGTAATAGTTGTATATATGTATGTACGTTACGTATATAAGAGTCTTTAGGATATATAGAGCATACATATGTATATGTACAGGATTTCTGCTCTACTCGAATACTTAATGTTTTTTGCATTTTTGGTTTTTTTCTACCCCCTTTTTTGCTGTTAGGGAGGATGGAGAGGATTCTCCTTTTTATTCTGAGGTGCTGGTCATTGTGGGGTCGTTGTGGGGTTGTCGCTGGGGGCGCGGGGTGTGGTTGTGGTAGTATTGGTATCGATAGTAGATACCTTCGGAGTAGGTGTATTTGGACTCCTCCCATCAGAACCAACACACATCCGCAGACTCGTATCCTCCATCTCAACACCTATCCACACACCGCCCAATTCAGCTACCTCTCTCTTCTTCCCTCCCTTCCCCTTTTCCTTCCCATTTCTTTTTCCTAAACCAGATCCACCTTCCAGCTCCGCAATCTGGCGCTCCTTCTCAGCGGCTAGCTCTAAAATCTCGACGGAAGTGTCCAGTTCGGGTTTTCTCCATGTTGTGGCGAGGGGGAATCTTTGTGGGGAAGAGAGGGGTTTGAAGGGGGAGGGAGAGGAGGGGTTTTGGGCTCGTTTGTGGAGGTAGAATGTTAGGAGGAGGAAGAGGATGGAGAAGGTTGAGGGGAGGGCTATGGCTATTTTTATGGGTGTGGAGGTGGGGGGAAATGTTGGTGGGGGAGAGGTGGTTGGGAGGGGGTTTGGAGGNGAGGGCTATGGCTATTTTTATGGGTGTGGAGGTGGGGGGAAATGTTGGTGGGGGAGAGGTGGTTGGGAGGGGGTTTGGAGGTTGGGTGTTGGTTATGTTTATGCTTGTACTGATGATGTCGCTGTTTGAGAGAGGGGGTGGTGTGTCGGTTGGGAAGGAAGAGATGGTTGAGCGGGTGAGGGTTGAGGGGTCGTTAGTTGATGGTGGCGACGGTGGTGGAACGAATTGAGTCGTGACGATGGTGTTTAGGATCACAGGTGTTGGCTGATGAGCTAAGACTGTTGAGATTATGGGAGGAGGTGGATTCTAATGTAGATATTTTTCTTAGTTGGTAGTCCATCCATAGATGGAAATTGGAGAGGGATGGTACTTACTTGTACTTGAGATGATTGAACAACCACTGGAATCTGTGAAGCTACTGGGGCTTTCTGTTTTGGTCTGTTAGTATGTGAGGAAATCTGAACTATCCCACCATCTATCCAGAGTAAAAGTGCTTTACTTCACTGGGAGCAATAAAAAACTACCACAAACCTGAGGAGCATCAACATTTAAAGTACCCGAAGTTCCCTCTCTCACAGAGTCCTTCCAGTCCAAAAGTCTCAACATAGTCCCGGACCCTTCAAATCCAGACAAATCCGATTCTGTAGGCGTCCATGTAAATGACTTCCCATTGAGCCCCGCTAAACCAACAAGTGTCAGTTCTCTTCACCTAGAATAAATCGCATCTCCCAACACTTCTATGAGGAGTGAGTTTATACATACAAGTAATAAGCTTCGGTGAGGCACCCCTACCAGTAGCCGATTCCATCGTCAGATATCCCGAATCCACAGTAATCGTCCAACTGATAGCCAAAGATACCCCCACAGAGATTATTGTCCCAGGAGCGGGACTGTTGAAGATTATGTTTTCCGCATATATTGGTATTATGAAAGCAAAAACAAGGCCGAGGTAATAGAAATTCATTTTCTTTTCTTTTCCCCCGGAATTCTTGTAGGTGAAGGAGAAGGGAGAAAAGAAAGGGAACAGAAAAAGAAGGTAAGGAATTGGCTACCCTACCTAACTGTGTGATTCGTCAGGAGATGAGTTTGGTTGAAGGATTGGAGCTGGTGGGAGTGAAGCTTGAGTTTGAGCCTTCGACCTACCACATGATACAGATGTGCCTGAGGAGATGCATAAATTGGGCGATGAGGATTCTGGGTGTAACGTAAATTGCTTAAAAAGACGTAGAGGAGATCCTTTTGCCTGGGTTTGATGTCAATATGCATAGCAACCGGCTCATTGGGTATGCTGCGCCTGGGACCCTCTTCCTATTATAAACGTTATATTGGCTTGTTACTGGCGCGTTTGCAGGATGTAACAAAACCTTATGGAGACCTCACTTTACAGCCCGCCTTCCCCCCGAACCCCCCGAACCACCTCCAGTATTGTATATGTTGCCCATATAGCTGATTGGCCCGACTAATGGAAAGGGGAGACTTTACTCCGCGCCGCCAAAAGGCGTCAGGAAGGTGTAGCCGGGGATGGCAAGCTTAGGAGGCATGAAAGATCAACCCCAGCCAAGGTTGATACAGCACCCTTTGTGGTTTGTCGTTACTTTTATTTCAAGAATTGTGAATATATAAGAAAAGTCAACATTACTCGAGTATTGTGTAGTCGAGTAATCCAGACTCACAAATTAATGAAAGTGGTAATGCAGGCGTTCATCTCCCATCTCCATATTTCCCTTCCCCTGACTCCCGTTCTTAATAGGGTCTATGCTGCCCGCCTTAGCGCCAGTCTCCAGGCGCCGCATCTGCATGAGCTTTCCAACTTCATCCCAAGGCAGTCAACAACCTGAACCCGCCTATGTGCTCACAATTCAATCTCCTTATTTCGCTGCTCCACTCGTAATCTTAATACCTCCAACCAATTGCCATAACCCGACTACAAGTACAACCTTGGAATCAACCGCAACTTAGCAATCACGTTGTCACCCACAGGACAAGCAATCGACGGTTCGTCGGTTGGGCTGCAGCAGCTGCACCAAGAGGAAGATCGTCACGACCTCAATAACACCCTCCATCAAGCATCAAAACTGGAGTCGGATATCATATCTCGCGCCCAATCGCCTCCTCCCCAGCATCCCACTTTCGAGCCCTCAGCCTCGAGGCCTGCCTCTCCTTGTCCTCCGCCTTTCTCGTCCCTTTATACCTCGACCGCTGAAGTCGTCGAAGCATACAAGACCGCAGTCACAGAAGCTGGCGCATCAGGGTCCGTACCAGCATACGCGCCTGTTGCGAGCGGAGCACACCTAGGTTCTAGCTCCCGAGAAGATAGTAACGTTGTTGCCGAGACCAAAGCAGCTCTCCCCCAAGATACCAAAGGAGAATCTTCCAAAAAGGACGACGACGCAGAACCGCCGCCGGCATATTCAGAGGGTTCTAGCCCACTCAATTCTTTCACATATCTGATGGCGGCCGCTGGAGGAGCTGCGAGTATCATTACTCAGGTCCAGCAAGGTGGCGCACCACCAATAAATACCTTAGGAGGCATGTAAATATTCTGCCATGGAGATTGTACAACCAGCTAACGAGCTCAAAAGATGTCGGCGCAGATGAAAACATTACTATGGACCTTCGGTATGGATATGCTGCCATTACACTCACGCACACACGCCCTGCTAATACATAGACTTAGGGGCCAACGATTTACACTCTCTCGCGATGAACTCTTGACTCTACCCGAATTTGTCCTTTTGTCGCTCTTTCCAAATGGTCTCCTACCAGATGGACATCTGAACACTTTCCAAGAGGGTGATGCCTTCCAAGTCGATGTCCGTCCAGCCAAACCATCCATTCGCGATTTGCTTCGTAATCCTAATTTTCATCTTGCTAACCTGACTTTGCAGTACGATCCAGCTTCCCTTCAGTACATGCTTGAATTCTTCCGTAATATCGCTCAAACTATCCCATCCGGTTCCAACTCGCCGTCGACGGGTCCCGAGGCGGATGCGATACCTAATGAGCCCATGGCTAGTTCTGCAAGAGAGATGCTGCAGGATCGCGCAGGAATAATTGTACTAAGGGAGGATCTAGATTTCTATGTTATTCCTCCAAGAGCAGACATTGAGCAGAAGGAGATGATTGATATCAAGAGAGCAGCAGGGAAAGCCTTGTTGAAGCAGGATGGCATATTCTCCGGGCTGAGAAGGAGTGAAGAGACAGGGACTACAGAACAACATTTAATTGAGATGTTGACTGCTGGGTTTGTTTATGCTAGATTTTCAGGTTGAGATGATACTAACGATATGTAGAGGATTCAACCACGAGGACCACTGGGGTCATCGCGCAAATGAACTAAACAAAGCGGTAATCTGCTCTCTTGCTCTCGCAAGATTACGAACCGACATTAGAGGCGCAGAAATGGGGTCCAACGCAGTAGGAATGGCACAAAAGCTTCTTTTGTTCTGGCGGAAACCAGCAAGAAGATGTTGGTGGGAGGGAGTAGAACTCAATAATGTGGAAGGAGTGGATGGGAAACTGAAGGTTTGGATTAGGAGAGTGTGGACTCTAGAGATGAGTGTTATTGGGTTGCGTTAAAGAGGGCAATTGTGTTTAATTTCTTTTCTTTTTTGTTTTTTCCTTTGCTTAGTGTATGTTGTTTAAGAGCTCTTTTTTTTCCTTCTTCCTCCTTTGATCTTCTGAGAATGAGCAGAGAGTTTTGGTTTGATATTGTTTTACAGCACCCCCCCCCTCCCCTGGCCTGGAAAGCCACACTCCTTTTTTTCATAGTTTGAGGGAGAAAAATATATCCATTTGAGAGTTGTGAGAGACTCTTTTTATTAGTCCATTATTACATACAATTGGAAATCTTCTTATTGATGGTCTAGAGTGAAATTTTCTCAATGATTTGGACTCGGTTCAGTTTCATGTCCACATGGTGAAGTGATGATCTGAGTTTGGTTGTTCAAGGGAGGAAGGATACCTAGATAGGTAAGATAAGTCTGATAGAGGAGCTTTTCCTCCTCGCTTTTTTTGGACTTTGAGATTATGGAAAACTGATGATCGGGTTTAACTAGGCGAAGGGTTTCAATGACTCGTCACAACCTGCAAAACTGGGGGAAAGAGTGACCTCAGGGTCTCGTCTTGCCCTACCGTCGACTCGGGGTTCCCTTAGGTAGGTTCTAGTGGTAGCTTGGGATGTCTCTGATCGTAGAATCGGGTAGCATCGGGCATTCGCCCTCAACTGGATTTGATTGTTCTGAGAATCACACCTTCTCCTTCTCTCTTGTTATTTTGCGTGACGAGGAATTTGTCTTCTCGTCAATTCCTGGACTCGTCTCGACTCTACGGTCACTACCAGGGCAGCTTTGGACTCGTCTGGGAGCTAAATTATTGAGATAGATGTCGTGCCTTCCTACGACGTTGGTTGGTTTTTGTCTTTGCCTGTGGCGCTCAAATCGATACTTTGATGTGGTTTTGAGGGGGGAGGTTAGATCTACCTGCTGAGTAGGTATTGATCAGTTGGTACTCGTAAATGGACCTAATGAGCAACACGACTTAAGTTCTGAAGGAGTTTAAACGTACGTGTAGGAGCTATACTTCTGGAAGTGTTTAATTTAGGAAGTGTATCTGATGTTGCTCTACTCTTTTAATCTTAATGACTGACAGCTTTTTTTTTTATTAAAAAAAAAAGGTTTATGCTTACGCTGTTGTTTTTAATGAGAGGGAGAGGGAGATGGGTGGGAAATGCCTAGTGAACCGCTATGTTTATGTGGGATACCTATGAAAGCATGGATAGCGTCATTGAATTACTCCTTCTTTGGTTGAAATTTGTTAAGTGGTGGAATGACTAGCCAATGTTCTTTGAGGTGAATTTGTTAGCAGAAGAGGATCCATTGAAGGGGACTAATATGATCATGCCCTCTAGGATACAACGCACGACCCAGGGCTGTTTTCGTCTCAAATGTTGAGAGACGTCTAATCGAAAACAAAACACCATACATTTTAGGAGAAATGGCAGGAAACTCAGAAACTAAGTGGACTTAAGTTCAAAGTGGTAAGTGAAAGTCTTCTCCCAACATCAACGGTTTCTTGGAGATTTTCACGTAATGTAGATGAATTTCTCCTCACGACACTTACAGCTTTACATTTGTCTTTACCCGATTCCTCTGTGTTGGTTCTCTTTAACTTATCTCTGATTTTAATGACTTGAGAATATAGGAGTTCTCCTCCAACATACCACGTTTCTTGAAAAAGATCTCTTGGGAAAATACGAAATGCGTCTTCGGATTCGGAATGTGGGCTAGCATCGTTCGAGGGGTAACGATGAGGAATTCGGGGGCAGTATTCAAGTCACAGTTTCTAGATATAGATAGAATGAACGCCTCTTTCCGGGGAAAAATTCGGAGTCTGGATAGTTTGATTTAGTTCTCATTTGCTAGTCTCTATGATCTGCTTGTGATTGTTGTGGCTTCACTTAACTCAATCAAACCACCTACTTATACTCAACTCAACTCAACTTAGAGTAACTTAGAGCGGTACTCGAGTTGTTGAGTAGATTGTTCCCACGCTGGTCGTAACACTGTATCCTTTTCAAGCTTAACATACTCGTCTTTATTCCTTACAAATTCTTTTCCGTGAGTCCTTCGTGGGTTTTATTTACTTTACCTTGATTAATTTACGGATTTTCCGGGTAAAAACTTGGAGTTGAGTTTGAAATATATTATCTTGTATGTGCTGCCATAATTTAAAGTGTCTGAGTTAGATGGAGGATCTTGAATTATTATAGTTTACTTTATTAATACTTTCCGTATAAATTTTCTATGAACTTTGAAGCTCAAGTTTGGAGGGTCTTACTCGAGACCTCGGCCGATTCTCGAAATTGAAATTCCCCGCCTCTTCACCTTGAAATGTAACATCTACATAAAAAGGCAATCACTTCCAGATTACTATAAAACTTTGGTTATAAATTCTCCATACAAAATCATACAACCTCGCTTATTGAAAGTCCCAAATTCCCAAATTCCAAGATTTACCTCAATTCACTAATACTCGTATCACGTCCACTTTCCAGCAGCCCCACCCACCCCCACTTCCCCACACCACATTCACACAAACCACAAATCCATAAATAAGCATATTAAAATCATCTAATCAAAAAAGGAAAAACATGAAAAAGGATCGCTTAGCTCAGTTGGTTAGAGCGTGGTGCTAATAGGGCTAACCCCTTTAACCAGATAACGCCAAGGTCGCGAGTTCGACCCTCGTAGTGATCAAGGTTCGTTCCTTTTTGTGCAGTTTTTGAGGTGGTTTTGAGGGTAAAGAATGAATGGTGTGAAATTGTGTTTTGTAATTTAGGTGGGGTTTGTATGTAGATGGGTGCTTCTTCTTTTGCTTGGCGATGGGCGGGTAGGGATCTACAGGAGGTAGTGTCGTTCTTTTTGTCCTGGAATTAGGGTTTCGAAGGAATTCCATGTGTAGAGGGAAATTTTAGTAGGAGAGAAACTAGGGAAAGAAATCTAAGAGGGTATACTTCATATTAGTATTTGGAGCAGGTAACCTTACGCTCTTGATTATTAAGATATCCATTCCAGAGTATCGAGACACAAAAGAAATGTGCACTTAAAGTAAAGTAAAAGTATCTAATATCACAAGTTCTTTCCCGTAGAATAAAGTTATTTAGCTAATTAGGTAACGTTTCCAAGTATTTAGGCCTTCATTCTACCTAGTTAACGTATCTACTTACTTATATCCGCTTCGAGTGCATGGTTTTTTTATATCTCGATACTCTAGAAGGGATAGAGAAGACGTTAAGAAAGACTTAGTTCACGGCGAAATACGTGCCTATTTATGCCTCTACTCTTATGTTGTCTAATCGTATATAGATTTACTAGAAGAGAATGTTCTAAATAGTAATTCCGAACCTAACTAGAGAAGAAAGAAAGCGTTTTAGCTTATTTAGTAAATATAATCCAAGGAACTACTATTTAAATTCCTCGTTCAAAGTAGTTTAGAAAGATTCATAGTCGGAGACATTTTATTAGCTAGTCAAATTAAATACATAAAGAAATGTACACGGTTTTCTCATTGTTAAAATGTAAAGTACTTTCTCTAAATATTACAAAAAAACAGAGTTTATTTAAATAAGTGAAATAATGTATCGTGGAATGCGAACGGTATCAGAGCCATCGTTCGAGAAGTTTGCAATCATACAGCGCACGTATAAGGAAAAGGACAAGAAAAGGAACAAGTACAAGATTCTCGCCATGATCCACGATAGGTGCGTAGAAGCCCAACGGCGATCTCATTCCACCCCATCCCATGATCCTTACAAGCGAGAAATCCACCAGAAAAGCAAAGAGGAGGGACGGGAAGAGATGATGAATTTGTGGAGTTTGAGGTGGATTACTGTTGCAGGATACTGTATGTATGTGCAGTAATCATTCCGAGAAGGTACTGTGTTGTGTAGAAGAAGGGAGAGAGAGAAAAGATTTTCCACCAATGAGAAGCCTGAAATTATCCTTATCTGGTAGGAGTACTCGTAACGATGTCAACATACACAAGTCATCTAACCACAAGACTCCATCGAAAGAAAACCCCCACTCCAACAACCCAACGCGTAGAGACCATACCTCCTCTTGTAAGATTTTAGTCTTTCAAAATAAATACTAACTATCCTTCGGCCGACCAGCCGACCGATCGACTCCATCTACCTACTCGTAGCCAGAAGACAGAGGACAGAATGTGACTCTGACAAAGACACACACGCCAAAAAGGGAGATAGAGAGATACAGATAGATAGACAGGAAAAATGACATGGTACGCCTTTTAGAAAATCGAAGTGGAGGTGGGCATGTCAACAAAAAAAGAAAAAAGGAAAGGACTAATGGACGGCCAAAGTTTGGAGAATATGCAATGGATCAACGGGCATGACAAGGGAGGGGAAGAGAAGGGAAGTAGAGAACGAGGCTCCGATGGTACATGCGAGCAGCCAGTGAAAAAAATTCTATTCGTTTGTACAAAATAATAAATAATAAATAATAAATAATAATAAAAAAAGGTAGAGGGAAGATGGAAAGGGAAAGGGCAAAAGATCCATAATTTGTCAAGGCTAAGGCGTCGTTGTAGATGCATATCAAGTTAACTACCTATATCTACCTAAAATGAAGAAGGGACGTTAAGTGGTGATGAGTCAAGCGATACTGTACTATACAGTATTTCAGATTTGCGATTAGTAATTACAGCCGTGGCTAACATCCCATGATATCTCCTCCTCATTACAAATCTACAAATCCCCAAGAAACATCAGCGTGAAGCATTCCAGCCTGCTCTATCATCCCTAGTATAGTAGCACAAAACAAAAAGGCCATCTTGAAATAGATGGCGATGAGGCGGGGCATGGAATCATTACTGTAAAATAAATAGAATAATTAACTTCCAACGCCCTTTCCATGATACTGGGTTTACCGGTAGATCGGCGATGGGGACTAGGTACTGTAGAAGGACGAATCAAGAGACTGGAGAGACGGGAAGCTTTAGGTTGGTAGGTATCCCATGTAGCACAACGAACGCCGACGGCGACTCCGGGGCTAAGGGTTCTGAAGAAAAATCATGAGATTTCTAAGAGGTGCTGTACCTACTGTACAGGTTGAGGTGCAGAGTCGGATATAGGAAGAATGGGCTTCGGAGGATGGATGGAGTTAGGGATTCAATACTGTATTCGAAAGCCATGGACACAGACCGGATATCGGAGGGCGTATGTTATTCATCTCGGGTTTATCGAGGGGCATCTGGTCTTGCTATGGAGGAATGGAAAAGGAGCAATCATGATGGAACCGGTGCAGCACATCGTAAATGCAGGTGTTGTCTGCTTGGTAGGCAAGGCGATAATGCAGTGCGGGGTGACTCTTTCGCTCGTGATGATTGTTGGCTCCTATTATTGTAGTAGCAACGTTGATGGCTGGACATGATGGCTGCAGTGGAAGGCAAACAATCTTGGACAGAATAGATTAATCTTCACCGAATAATATTCAAAACATCCACGCCGGCAGAGTCCTAGTGGTGCGGGGATGAATCATGCTTACACATTCTCCCATGGCGCGTGGAGATTTCGGGGCCCCTGGCCTGGTACAAAGGTTACACTGGATCTCGCAAAGTGCTTCTGCTTTGAGGATGAATGCCATGCATCTGTGTCTACAAAGTCGCCAGAGATGTGGGCCATGGGATCACAATTCCATGCACCTTCAACTCGAATAGCTGGCCCCAAGAATCGGAGATAAAAAGGCGGACAGGAAAGAATGGCATGGGTTCCTGCGAGGGTGTCAAGGTCTGCCGTGCAAAGTTGCGCATGTTGGGCAGGGTTTGGATGCGAATTAAATAAGCCCATTCGCTATGGAGAGCCGAATCTGGGTCGTGAACAGGCGGCTGGGAGGGTGTGCGCAGGTTTTGGGGAGGGGTCTTTGGGGAATGGCGGTGGGAGGTTGAGGTTGGATTTGAGTGTTGACTGCTGTCGTGCATGCCTCATCCATGGCCATACATCGCAGAACATTTCCAGATCGGGAATTTCAGTAGGTGTTTGTGCTGTGGAAAAGAGAACAGGCAACAATTGATACTTCCATGGATTTTGTAGGAGTGCCATGTTCAAAAAAGGTATGTGCAGCGTCCAGTTGGTGTGTGACAGTTCTGAATAGTAGTGGATGCCGTGACACACAAGACAGTGCCGGAGAAGTCAGTCGATCAACTTCCCATGGTGTACATCCCCTATTTATGTGACGCCCACTTGGGTCAACGGTCTGTTTATTACAGTAGAATCAGAATTGAGGCTCAGGATGTGAGAGGCACAGAAAGCCATGCGCCCGAAGCGAGGAGAAAGGAGGGACGACTTGTAAAAAAAGGGTGACTTTGAGGGGAGAAAAAGAAATGTATTAAATATCTAAACGATATTTTTAGAATTGTGGAGAGAAATGGAGATATATCCGAACATCAGTACCCGGTGGCAGCTTTCAGCCCTGTTCAAACAGGTTACGGCTGTACCTTTTTCACGTAATACTCATGTGCTGCACACCCTGTTGGTCGTGACTTGAGCCGAGCAAGCGACAGGCCGATAGCACGTCAAAGCACTTCAGCTATGTGTTGAAATACTAAACGACGCAAAGGTAGTAGATTCTGATATATGTAGAGCATATATTAATGCTTCGAGGCTATGTTACCACACACATTGCCACCTCCAACCCAACCAACTTTGTTTCGGGGGACTTAGATCATACGGTACCTTCTCATCGTTGGAACCACGTACAGCTTCATTCGGATCGTCTCGATAAGGTGTTATGTTTGTACCGGGATCTTTCTCAACTGCAGCAATTGAAACAATTGACAGGGAGAAATCGCCTTCTTGCTTTCCAAAGAAACTATTCAGGGAACGCAGATTAGCTTGTGGGTACTTGGGACAGCAAATGCTAGGGCTCCATGGCCTTTTATTTGCTCCGGTTTGTTGTTGGTTGGTACAGTTGGGAAGGGGATCCGGGTACTAACGTCCCGGTCGAGAGCCAACTTGACCGAGTAGTACCTGTAATAGGAGTGGGAACCAACCTTCTTGTCAAAAGACTAATTCGCTTGACATTTTTCAAGTCTAACGGTTTTGCATCGACCTTTTCTCGTCCCCTGTACGTAGCCTTCAAGTCATGCCACCCCAGACTAATCTTCTGGCCATCTTTCTGGGCCTTGAAGTCGTATTCCCAATTAACAGAACTTTGCTCTCGGCCATCTGGGCTTTGAGGCAATAGCTCGTCTTTTAACGTGAGGGTATACTGCATACCATCCGACTTGGCAATGTCTAGAACCAGACCACTGAATGCAGACAAATCCCAAGTGCGATCGCCAGTTGTGCGCTGTGAAGCGAAGCCGGCCCCGCCCAGTGTTTTGATGTCCAGATTTCCGTGGTATCTTGCGATTGGTGATGCTGCATTGCAAGTCAAGGTAGAATATGAAGAACCACCTCGCACACGGTCATCTGAAGAGGTCCAATCGAGGGGATTCCACGGCCTGGAGAGATGTGAGTTAGTACATGATGCAATTTTGGGTGGATTTGGATGATTAGAGTAGGATTTATTGGATGGGCAGAACCACTTACTTGTCGCCGCCAAAGAGGTACTCATGTTTATGCGGGACAGGAGCAGGCATGGCGTAGATGTTGGAAGACGTTGGTGTTGAAGCCCAAGCTTGAGCTAAGAGAGGGAGTGGAAAGAGCCGAGGCTACCTTAAGGTTTAGGTTAACCACCGGAATGCGCTACGAGTACGCTAAAGTATCCACACAAGCACATACCCACACCTCCAGCTACTAGAGCAGAAAGACAACGACCTCTGACTGATATTCGATTCGCACAATATACGCGATAGTTGCTTGATTTCGAACGACAATGCTCCAGGACCAGGACGGGCTTTTAACTGCCCATTTTCGTCTTCGACAAAGCAGGCGCAGAATGTACCAGGTATCTACCTTTTGGAGATGACCTCATCACATCGCGATTCAGCCCTGTGCGGCTGTCTCCCGCGTGGTTCTGCTTCTGCTTCTGCTGACTGCTTGATGACTGCTTCAGCGGAAGTCTGGAGTAACGGGAAGCAATCCAGAATACTTCCTTTTTGGTGACTGTGCGGTGTCTGCACGCAAATCATCGCAGGTGCTGCATCGCGAGATATCATTGCCGTCGCGGTGCGGTGCGGTGCTGCTCTCGACCGCAACAGCAATGGGATCTCGATAGCTTCATCGGAAGGCCGGCGCATCAACGTAGTTTGACAAGTCAACACTCTGCGCCGCATTATCTGCCCTCGCTCTCGCCTCGCCCCCGCGCCCTTTGCCACATGGACTCCATGGCCATGATTTCACACCACACCACCAACTCCACCCCGAACTCCGGCTTGCCTGGTGTGCCTACCGAGACGTGCGAGAGTGCGATACCATGTAGGCCATGGACCATGCCTAGCATGCTATGATAGCGAGGATAGCCTCCATGCTACCGTAGCCTATACTAGCCGACAACACCAGTCCATGACGATCATAGGCTTCACGAATCACGAACCTTTCAGCTGTCGACGCCTTCCATCGCCATCTCCACAGGAAGACAGAGGAGCCTATCGTACGGCCGTACACGCGACGGCCATTTTGTAACAATCCATCAACATGGATCCAACCTTCTGGAAGGGAAACCGCACTCGAGTAGTCTTCTCCCCGTGCCTGTTACTCGGTACGAGCCCCAGCTGAAGCCCCAGGCTGTGCTGTTCCTCTCTGTTCCTTCCAGGCTACCGTCACTGTCACCACCACTGGTCTTGATACAATGCTCTTCCGCCGACCTTGCCATACGAGAATCCCAGTACCTCCATCTTAAATCGATCCAACCACATGGCATATTCCCTTTCAAGCATTAAATTTGACACCAAAGGCTGCACCGTTTCAAAGAGGTTCGAGCCATCTCAATGGTTCTTGTCTTTGCTGCGCCGTACTTGAACTCCGTACTTTAGTCTTGTGTACGCCGAGGGAGATGAACACGGCCCTAAAAGAAGACCGAGCCTTGCGGGCACTTTTCTTTTTACGTGAAGCTACGCAATGGCGTCACTCTATATTCACCGCAGATGCCACGCCCAGTGGTCGTCGTATACGCGGAAAGACTTGTTTCCATATTTGGCTTGGAGAGACCGTAAACCTTCAAATGAGGTGACGCACCATACGATCCTCCGCACATTTGTAGATCATTTAGCCCAAGTGGTGCAAAATTCGAATTTTGAGTCCGTTGCCACGGATGGAGTCACAGTTTGGTTCGATTGTTCCGGAATTGGAAGGATTCACAAAGCAAAGATGTCAAGGCAGAATGTTTTTTTATGCTTCGATTCAGTGATTTTAAATCAACAATAAGTGTTTGTTTGGTAGCGAGGGGTATTTACAGTATAACAGTCCTTGAAAGAAAAATCAAACCCATGCTTTCCCAAGAAGAACAGAACACCAGACTACCAATTTCCCATGCTTCCTGCCCGTCTTTCCCATCTTCCCCAGTCATATTTCATGAGAACATATCTCTAAAGAATGAGCCGAGCACTTCGGACTCTGATTTCCGTACACCTTGATCCCAAACAAACGATACTCCAGTCCCAATTTCAAACTCATATCTGGTTCAAGAGTCGTGGAGACGGAGGCATCGAAAGTGGTGTGGTGGGGTACTGATAGCCCGACTCGGAACATGTGGTTGAGTGATCATATGAATGTGACAATGGAGGAGTCTGGAATGAATCAGTAAACATTCACAGAGGAAAATGCCGAATTTCTTGGGGGCTACATACATGAGGATTGGAATCATCATAGCCGTGAGAGCCTTGAATATCAATAGCTGGAAGACCTTGGTAGCTCAAGTTGAAAGGTGCCATGGTATCGTCGTTTTCGCGCTTGATTGACTCGTGGAAGTGCATCATGGAAGGTAGAGTGACTGGCTCGAGATAGTTGTTATATTCTGCTCCAGTGGAGACTGGTCGGTATGGCTGCGATTGAGGGTATGGTGGATATGACATATCCTCGGGAGCCGGGTATGTGTGGTATGCGAAAAGAGGTGGTGTTCTCGAACCTTCCCGCTCAAACCCATGTCCAAACATCAACTCTTCGTCGTGATGCATTGGTGGGGTGTATTGTTGGCTGTGAAGAAGTCTGGGTGGAGATTGTCGGTGGACGGTCTCTGGGCTTCTCTTGGTCCATTGTTGCTCATGGCGATCTGATTGATGGAGCTCAACATGTACTTGTGGTGGTGAGGCTGAAGAGGAGCCTGCTCGTCTCTCGAGGTCTTCAAGACGACGCTTTAGCTTCTTGCCTATACGAAGATTAGTTACTCGTTTCTCCCAAGATCCGACTGGACTACTCACGGTAGTTACGTTGGGCAATGCGGTTCTGAATTCGTCGGCGTTCAGCAAGGTCGGAGATCTTGGTCCAATCTTCATCTGGGTTTGCGGAACTGCTAAAGGCACTGGAGGTGCCGTGGGCAGTGATATTTCTTGACGGCGTGGGTGCCGAATATGAGTAGCTCTGACGAGACATGGCTGGTTGTTTGTGGATGGGAGTCCGAAGAATACTGGGCATGAAGGTGATAGGGAGATGGACTTCTTTTCAAGGAAGTGAGGTGAGAGTTGCTTGTTGGTTTGCAAGTGCTGTGTACACCAAAGTAATGAGGCGCTCACTTGGGGATCTCTGGGAGATATATATGTGAACGGGACCGACACACGAGGAGGCCGCAGGCATACGATTTCGAGACCATCTCTCACGGATCCCCTGCTCCTCCTAGCTGAGCTACACTACAAACGAGGGTCCTGTCGCTGTGCAGCGTGTAAAGCGACCCTGTCTGGTGCAGGGCTGCCACTCACTCAATGTCACTTTAACTATTCCCTGTATGCTCCCCTGCTCCCTCGCCGTTGCTCGCACGACAAGCCACCCCTGGCCCCCTCTACTATCGAGTTTGATACCTCATCTAGTTTAGCGTGGATGGGGAACTGGTGGTCCGCCAGGGTGGGCGCAGACCCAATGTTCGATAATTAGCGGCCATTAAGAATAGAACATAAGTGCCTGGGCTGGGTAAAAGCAGCAGCCCGAAACCAACAACACCAACAACACCAACTTCCGACGAGTCGGCGATTGTCAACGCAGCCACCAGTTCTCCCATGCGCTGGCGACCCCCTTGGGCGTATTCCATCTGCCCCCCAGGTGGCTGATTGTCTGCCAGGAATAGATCCACGCTAAGTCTGTTGCTTTTGCCCGGCGAATGCCCACGAGTCCTCTGAACGCCATTAGACTAGAATACTTCAATCCGGGCCTTTGGCTTGATTGCAGCCCTACGCGGTACAGAAAAAAAGACCAGGAGGAAAAAACAATGTGGAAATACAAGAAAGGTCCCATGGAAGATGGAAGCATGGAAGAACGCAAGCGTGGGCATCTCCTGTTTGGCGCGATTCGTTAAACGCCCATGGTATTAATGGTATCAAACTTTCTTCAAGATGCATCTGTAGTGCCGCCCTCATCAACCGGTAGTTTGGAACTTGGGGCACTGGATTGACTTCTGGCAAAAGCATCTAAGAATATCTCTTCGGCACACCTGGTTCTATTATTCTGCATCCCAGGAACTACTTTCTTGTTCTTGCCATCACGATGGCAAATGCAAGTACAGTGACTCGAATAAGCGACTCGGGTGTCCCCAAACATCACGGTCGCAAACTTTCTAGCAGGAGGCGCGGCTAACGTGTTGGTGTTTCTCCCTTCCATCATCTTCAAGCGCTATCCGGAATCACATACGTCCCGGGTACATTTCTAGTTGCCTGGACTTCAGCTCTTCATCCGTTCCGACTCATACGGAGTACCCCATATAATTGGCGAAGCGGATTTTAAGACGGATGATCGGCGTAGCAAAAAGTCAATGCTTTGACATTAACGGCAGCTTGGTTCCACGCTTTGATAACTGCGCAACTCAAAAAACGGCCTCGGGCCTAAACATGAGGTCGGATTCTGTAGATTGCAGAAGAAGATCCCTACGGCTTCAAGGTCATCAAATCAAACCATTCCTCCTATCTCGTTTGTTCACTTGGTGTATATCATATACTTTATAGTATAGCTGATTTGTTGTATCAAAGGCTTGGGGAAGGAAGGCAAGGAAAGCCAATTATTTTGATATGTTCGCATACTTGATTCATTTGCTCAAATCCCGCTTTTAGGATGTTCTTTTTACTTTGATATACAGTACGGTACCAGTACCTCTGATCTTGGCAAAGAGCAGGAGGCTCTTCATGCACCGTGCTCCCCCACACCAGGTGTCGGCCGACAACCCAGCTGTGTGGTAGTACACTTCAATCTTGAGTTTGAAACACGATTCTGACCTCGAGATATGTTTAAACTGAGGATGATTGGATCCTGCGTCTATTCAATCTGGTTATTTTAGGTACATATCCTATGTTTGGTTGAGACAGGAGGGAGAATTTTACGTTTGGGTGCAGGGAAGGCAAGCGAACCATCTCATCTCGTTTCTATTTTAAGGTTGCAGGTATTTGGAAGCTTTCTAGGAACATCATCATCATCACATCTTTTTTTCTCTCACATTCGGAAATAGCTTCATCGCGTCTAAAATATATTGTACGCGCAAGCGAGCATCGAACCTGTCCCTCTTTCCATCAACTTCTCCTGTTTCGTGCTTAGAAACTATTTTGGAAACCAGTTTGTTTGTCCATTAGTGGTATTGCATGTGGAAGTTGCCGAGTAGCGTTTTGGTCCGATCACTCGGATGGACTCGTGGGGTTGATTAGCAATGCTTTTCATCACGCCAGAAGAGACGATCTCCAGCTAGGATATGTCATCTAGACGGAACTCGAATCCTCGTCCAATGGGGTTTCGACGACCAGCACCAAGTTCATGGTGTTTGGTCTTGGGTTTATCTATCGCCGACAGGTAATGGAGCCATACCACGGAGCGCACATTACAGGCTACAAAGTGCGAGTGCTTAAGGGAGATGGAGGGTTGTTATTCCCTATCTCATTTCGTTCTGCCGATCTGAAGGTCTCAACATACGGGATTTAAAGCATTCTAGTCATTTGATTTCCCGGGATTTGCGGCTCGCCACTAAGTGCCGCACCACAGCACAGCACTGAACTGGCAAGATACGAAGCACGAATAGACGGCAAATACAGTGGGGTCCTCTGCCATTTCATACAAAACGACCATCATATGTTGTCTTCATGTTCGTTGAATCTCAGGATTTCAGATGGCTACTGTGGTATAGGGTTAGCGAGCGAAGTCGGGTAAATACACGATTTTAATCGGCGATATACCGAGAATTTGCAGTTCCCAAGGCCTTGGGAACAGTTACTGTACCTTTGCCGCAATGCACGACTTGTGCTTGTGGCCCCCGCCGCTTGAGGGGGGATGGAAGTCGTCACTTGCCCAAAAAGTACGGATATGTCCCTAATTAACCCCCTTTTACCATCACTTTCCCTGTCTCTTCCCACGAGGCTGGGGGGGGTGTACAGGAAGACGGAGGTGGAGGATAGAGTTCCCTCTGCCCACACACCTCACGTACCTTGGCTTGGCTTGGGCCCAATAGCACGACCGGGTCGGGTTACCCTGCTTCTGCGCCTGCATACCCCTCTCCCCTCCATCCATCCCCCAAATCCAAATCTCCACGACCCCCAACCAACCAGGCCTGCCAGTACCACCACTACCACCACTACCACACCAGCAGCCNCCCTCCATCCATCCCCCAAATCCAAATCTCCACGACCCCCAACCAACCAGGCCTGCCAGTACCACCACTACCACCACTACCACACCAGCAGCCACCCTTTCCTTTGCACCGCACCACAGCTCCAGCGATCCACGTGCTTTGTCATATGTTTATTTTTGCCCCCTCCCCAAGAACGCTGCACGATCCCCCGTCCCGCCAGTTGCTCCAGCCATACAGCCCTTGCCCCGACTGTTCACCGCGCATTCGGCCCCTGTCTTTCCCCTCGCGCCCCTGGAAATCGAGGTTGGGGCCAATGAGAGAGCTCGGTTGTGACGGACAAGGAGATGGGCGACGGTGAAGATGGCGGAGAAGTCGTCGTGGAAAGGCGGGAGGGGAGGGTGAACGTGTGAACGGTGGTCTTGGGAGCTGCTGCTGCTGCTGCTGCCTCTGCTGCTACCAAGTGCTGCTACCATTCCTCCGGCCTCGAGCCACTCCAGCGAACACCTCGTCCTTGCGCGAGGCTGGAACGGGGATGCGAAATGCTGGACGCTGGACGCGATGTGATGCTATCCATGGACCATGGATGGGATGCAATCGTGCGATGATGTGCGATGTTCGATGCAAATGCAAATACGATGGTGGGTTTCTTTCTCAATCTGGAGCTTCGTGGTGTTGTGGTGCATACGACCGATTGCGTTGCATTCCAATTCCCTCAATACGGTCTCTTTCGTATGTTTGTTGTTGTCGTTGGGCGTTTTACTAGCCATCATGAGTCCGCCCTCCGCATTTAGGATGAGAGAAGCCTTTCGCTGAATGACAAATAACTCTTCTTCTTACAGGCACTTGCACTCACTCGAGATACTTGATCACTCATCAGCCCTACCCGGACCGTAAGTTCCCCTAAAGAATCATAGCTCGAATAAGTTTCCGTAACTGGCAAGCCGATTTTGAAGAATCAAGGCTTGCGGTCGATCAGTAGTGCTACTCAAGTACATTATCGTGATACAATAATGACCCATCTGCCGCGAGACATTTCGGTTTCCACTTGCTCGTAAGATATCCAATCGTTTCGCGAATAGTCATAAATCTCCTTGATCCATCTGATCTTGAACTCTATCAGATCCACTTACGGGGAGCAGAAAGTCGGGAAAATCATTCCCACATGGAGAGACCTAGCGGGCTGAAGAGCCATGCCAATGCCAATCGGCACGTAACATTTCTTGCCTACTGTACCTATGACAAAGGCACTCGGGTATTACATTTACATTTCCCCTTAAAATAAGGGTATTAGAAGAGGCCATGAGATACGTACATACATACCAAGTTGTGGGAGTCTGCAACGAAAAAAACCCAAATCCAAATCCAAATCCTTCCGTTCATGATTCTTCGCTTCTCCAAACACCCACATTTCGTCACTTGCCCTTTCCACGCAGCTGGCCCCATCGTGTCGTCAATCCCCCAAATAGGAAATATTCCCTTGGCATGCTCGTACAACCCAACTTTCTCCCCCCGTCGGATCCTACCGGTACCAAACAAGGCTCAAGGCTTAGGAAGAACCAAAATCGATACCATTACCTTGAATCAGCAACGCTCATCCGAAGCAAAACTAAAATAAGGGTAACAATCTCTCCACCATATCCATAAATTTCCGTATTATCGCTAGTCGAGTGATCCTCCCGCCGACCCTCTTTCTCAAGCTACCCCACTCGCCTCGTGAGAAGAGAGTTTTCGTCCGTGAACCATCCCATTTTTAGGCAGCCAAATTAGCCGTTCTCTTGGCGAAGAGGCGGGAGGGAAAGAGCAGAGCCCCATCTTGAGGGGATCGCAGACAGGGTTGGCCTATACAGTACGGAGTAAAGTCAACCTTGGACTTTCTGATCTGTGGTGACTGTCCTGTGCTTGTCGGGGTACACATGAATTGGGCTCTGTGCTTTCTGAGGGGGCATCGCATCCACTATTGATCGTTCTCGGGCCTTTCGGTGAGCTTGGACAGCTTGGACAACTGGCAACG